GCAAATAACCTGCTCTCACAGCCTCACTTTCTTCATCTAGGAAATGAGCTTCCTAATGAACTGGCTTTCAGGGCTGGTGCAAGAATGGATGACATGCAGAGAAAGAGATGTGGAGGCACCCCGTCATGCAAAGCATCTTATAGGATCTTGCACAAATGTGCAGTGTGATTGTCAACATCCTATTAGCTTCTAATAGAACTTAAAGCCCTGAGTAAAGGATATTCCCCACCCCCACTCCCCGCTTCCCTGCAGTTCCACTCCAGCAGAGGACAAGGTTCTCCCATGGGGGAAATCTATGGGAACAAGCCTTTTTCCTTGCGGGAGGGGGTTTTAGGGCAACCCTGCCCTCACCTGCTCCTGGGCTTAGCAAACCAACAGAAGGCTGGAAGGAGCCTTCAGAGTGCATCACCCAAGATACAGGCTGCTGATGGGCTACAGGTCAAAATACTTCTGTGAACAGATAAATAATGTTTGTGAGGTTTGTTGTAGTGAAGAAATAAGGGGAGGGGGGCAGCCCTGATGCCAAATGGACCCTTAAGGACTATGTTCCACAAGCCAGGGAAACTTGCCGTCTCTTTGCAGGGAAAATAGCTGGGATGGCATCTCCAAAAATTCTCCTAGAAGAGCTGGCATCTGGGCGGGCAGGTGGGCATTCTTGACTGGGGCCCTTTTTCTTCCAAGAGCTTCTTGCAGATTCCATCTCCTGCCCCTTGTCAGGGAGAATCAGGAAGGTGGGTCTGGTGCTGCCAGCAGATCCTTCTGCAGGGAAAGGGGACAGACCACGTGCCAGATGTCTGAAGGCTGATGGGAGTCCTTGACCTGGAAGACTGGCAGGATCCCTTTGCTGGGTCCAGGTGCCACGACCGTGGCATTTACTGGCGGTTTCAGGACCTTCTTTTTTTTTTGCTCTGTTTAACATTTTTAGAAGCTTTGCACTCCCTTGATCAACGGCCAAGAATAAAATCTGTGCATCCTTGCTTTGTGTGTGTGTGTGTGTGTGTGTGTCTGTGCGCGCATGTGTGTGGTGTGGGGGTCAGGTGGAGAGGGGAAGGGAGGGGAGAAGAGCTTTGCTAGGGAAAGGGGCACTTTCTGTGAGTGGGTTGGTGACCCCCACTCGAGGCCAACTTTGCTTTTGAGGGCAGTTTTCAGCCCTCCCCCCCATCCCACTTTTTAACAGCCAGCAAGCTCGATGCAAGTGGCTGGCTGGTGGCGGTGGTGGTTCTCGTCTTCTAAAGCCACCTATTAGATGTCTGTGTACGGAGGCTGTTGAGATGAATCGTGCCCTCTGCCACCCTAGTGGGGCGGCCGTTGCAGCACTTTCCTCAACCTGCCATTCAAAAATTGAAATCCAGGTCAAAGGCAGCTCTGGTGCAGTGCGCGCTTTCCTCTGCCTGCTCGGCA